GGATGTGGGGCTTGATCCCAGGACCCTGGGATCATGACCTGAGCCAAAGGCAGATGCTTAACGACTGAGCCACCCAGGCGCCCCTAAAGGCAGATTTTCTAAATTGTTCTTCAAGAAACATATTTTCTCCACTCTTCAAATGTTTCTCTAATTCTTTCCACCAGGTCCCCCCCAAAAAAAGGAGGAGGAAAAGAAGAAAGAAATGAAGGAAAGAAAAGGAAGAGGAAGAGGGGGAAGAAGAGGAAGACGAGGAGTAGAAGAGAAGTTGGAGAAATAAGTAAAAGGAAAATCTTTTTTTCCCTAAAACTCAAAAAACCAAATTGCACATCAGACGTCAATGTGTCTGGTCAGACTGCAGGAACTACTGAAGCAGATATCACTAGACACACACATCTCACATAACTAAGTTCCTTTCATTACTATATATGTATCCCAGTAGATGCAATGTGCTTACATATCAATATTTTGATTGTCTAAGATGCTATTTTATATAAGCTGCTCAGAGATGACCAGAATTATTATTATTATTATTTTGTATAATCATGACTTTTTTTTTTCCTTTAAGATACTCTTTTTTTATTTTTTATGTTCTAAGAAATCCTTTTGGTTTATGGTCCACATGTTGCCTAGAATCAAAGCTTATTCAAACAAAGCCAGTTTAAAGCGATATTACTACATAGTTGCAAGAACAAATTTCAGGTTACTTATATGCAATTTAAGTTCTGAAATGGACTACATATGGCTATGATAATGAGCCCATTACTAAAAGGAACACTTTAGCAAAATGTATAAACCTGTATGAGATTATGCATCTACACTATGCACACACATTATCGTTATCTCCCCAAATACCATGTGTGCCATTTTCATTTAAGAATAGTTAAAAATTAAAGATAAGAACATTATTCTCATTTTAAAGACATCTTTTCACAATTATTGCAAAATTACTAAATTGACACAATGCACAGGAAGTTGATGTAATTAAAAAGCATTGTGGTAATTTATGTTTACTTCCCTGTAAATGACTGTAGAACCATAGTCTCATCTAAAAATAAAGAAAATCTGGAGAACAAAAGCTAAACTCAATACATATTCTCCTATGGAACAGTAAAGAAAAATATGCATGTGGTTCATGAATCTGTATTAAATGAGAAAATCTTTATTTACATCCCAAATAGAAAAGTTTGTCTGTGGTTCTCAACTAACTTAATGTTTACTCTCTATGGATTCCAACAGACACAAGATACTGAAAAATCATAAATAATATTAGCACATATCTCCTAGGAGGAAGCAAAACTCCAACATTTTTCATATACTATAAAAATGCACATATAAATAACCCACCAAGCAAATTTCAATGCAAATCTATGTATCATTTGTCACTGAATAAAATTAATTTCTGTGTCTAGCACAAGGATAGTCAGTATATCTTTGAAATGGTACAAGCTTCTCTAAATTTGAAATTCATGGGGAGAATAAGCACACACTTATAAGAAAGGATAATAAGTAAATAGAAATCATAGAACCCTGGAAGAGAAAGGGCTTAGAGATCCTACAAACCAACCCTCTCATTATATATGGGAACGCTAGGTCTCAGTGTGTTGAAATAGCCTAGAGGGCAGTGTTGTCTACATCCCAAATTTTCGACGATCCCCATGGAAAAGCTGTCATCATTCTGGAGTGAACCAAAGGCAATCCAATGTCAAAGGTATGCTTTATGTACTCATTCAGTAAGTGCCCACAGCTTCCTTTGCTTTAGAAGTAGTAGATGCTAAATACAAAAACTAGTTTCACACACACAAAAATTTACCATTACCTTTTCAACTTCTCAACCCTGGGCATTTTTCACTACACAGCCGTGAATTTTGCTGCATAATTGTGATCCAGACATAAACTTGCCCCTTATCTTATAATATTAAATCAGAACAAAGGTCCTAGGTGTGTCTCCTGGGTAGGAGGGGTGAGACAGGGAGAGAAGGAAGAGAAGAAGGGAAAGAGGAAAAGAAGGGAGGGAGTCAGGTTGGGAGGGAGGGAGAGAGGGAAGGAGAGAGATGATGCCTTGCTACTGCTGTTCCAGCAAGCTGGTTAATTGCATTTGTTTCATATATCTCCAAACACCCTGGTACATTAATTACATTCTGTAACACCGAGCTCTTCTGATTCCCTCTGTCACTTCCACTGAGCAATTTAATTGTATTCCTCTTAGCTACACACTAATTCAAAAAAAAAAAAAAAAAGAAAGAAAAGAAAAAACTCGGTGGTAATTCGGTAGTCTAATGTACAGTTTATACATGCATTCCTGGTATTGAAATATGTAAATTCATGGTTTATGAGGATATATGATCAAAGTCTTCTTATCATGATAATCAAACACACTTGGGAAAAATATGAAAACCTTTTGGTTAGGGCAATGTAAATGTATTGTAAAGGTAAATGGATTAAAGAAGGAAATGTATGGTGACTGATTAGGTATGACTATAGATATTGTCACAGTGTGATTCACAATGATTAATTCCTACACATCAGCTACTTAGAAGGGAAAAAGAAAAAGCAGTGTGCCCACATGAATGCCTTGCCTCCTATCGCTGGGGGCAAAGGTACTCATGTAGCCTGTGATTGAAAACAGCCACTTGACAGTAGGTAAACTCATCTGTACCGCCTCATGTTTATAGAAAGCCTGCCTGTTTGTATCCTCCGATCCATTGGGTTCTGTGCAGCAGTAGCTGCGAGGAACCAGGATAGCTCCTACAGGCGGGCAGAAATAGGCAGTGTCCCAAAAATGAATTTGTCCACAATGCAAATGCTGGAGGAAAGTTTATGTAGCAACAAGCTACTATGGTGGCTCAAATACTTGGACCAATACACAGATTCTTTACAAGTATAATAGTTATAAACCTAAAGTCCGACAATCCACATTTTCAGGAAACAACAACAACAACATGCTCTACTCTTCTCATGAGACACATTCTTTCCATTGATTCAAAAATTAAAGTCCCTAGAAGGTTAATACCAAATGTTCTTTCGACTTTCTTCTTATAAACAAAAACGCATGTTAATGATTACTTCCACACATCATTCAAAAGAGCTACATGTAAAAAAAAAAAAAATTGCAATCCTCTCACAAGAAACTGACATCCTGTGAAAATATCCCAGGAAAGCATATCTGAACAAAAGACAGGAGAATCAGAGGCAGGATGCTGTCTGCTTGACAGACTGACTCAACCCAGAGGGAGACACCTACAGCACCTGTTTCAGATCCCCATTGTGTTTGCCACTGGGGACTGAGCTGAGTGTTCTGTGCCCACAGCCAGCCCACAGCTTATGTTTCCCCCTTCCTGGAGCCTCGCCCAGTCTCACTTTTGACAGTTTTCTCCCTATGATCTAAATTCTTGATTCTGATTTCACACTAGAAGAGCACTCCGCCACACACAAGTGATACCCATTGAACCCTGAGATACCCTGTCTCAAATTCCTAACCCACTGAACCTTCGTTGAAGTGTCTATTACTATTTTTCATCACCTGAATTTCTAACCCAAAGTTCAGATACAAGAACAAACACCAAAAGGGAGTAGGCACAAGAGTATCCGAGAGATTTGCTTTAATATTCCTTTTTCTAACAAGACTGAGAGCCCATTATTTATTATCCAACTCCTCAATTAATTAAGTAAATTACAACAATAACAACAATAGGTGACTACTAACACGTTCCACTTGCAGCAGTTTAGAAACAAAGACTTAAAACCTCTGCCCCCCAAAAGCCCCTGTGCCTGTTCAAAAGGGACTAACAGACAAAATGTCATTTTATTTATAGCCCACAACGCGCTCAGAAAGAAATGGTTTTTGGGGTGGGGGGAAAAGATAAAAGTATTTTTAACTTACCATCAACTCGAACATATAAAAATCCACAGAGCAGTAGTTGTGTAAACATCAGCCGACTCATTTTGACATATTAAAAAGGATCCAGATTGTTTTAAGAAACCAATCCCAGAGAGCAAAAGTACAAAAATAAGTATCAAAAAAAGAGGTAGGTCCAAAGTTTAGACTTTCCTAGATGCTAATTAAAGTCAAGAAGAGCAAATCGCAAGATCAGAAGGGGGTCAGTGGAGAGGTCTTGAGTGGGGCACATTTAGATCCATCCAAATTAACAGAGGGCACTCCAAAGGCTGCTGTATTTCCACCCTCTGGCTTCCTAAATTCCCACAAATTCAGCCCAGCCGGAGGGATTATTCAAGTGTGTCTAACCCTCTCTCCTCAGGCTCCATTACCATCCAAAGTCAAGTTCTTTCTTCAGAAGTCAAGAAGATGAAGGGGGAGGAAAAAGACCTAATTCCTAGAAAGTGTTCCACAAACTTGCCAGCGCGCTGCCGAAAAACCATTGGCCTGCCTACTGGTGTTCTTTCCCCGGTCTCCTTCTCGGTAGCAGCTCCACGTCCAGAGTTATTTTTTTTATTATTATTATGTTTTTTTTTTTTTTTGGAAA